TTTTTTTTTCCCAAATTCCAAGCACAGACCAGAAAACAAATGTGAAACTGAACCTTATTAATGCAACACCAGCACCATCTATTGGTGTCTACTCCTTGCACTGCAAGAAAACAAACCCAAAACCTAAACAAGTGTATTTCAATAACTTCTTGGATGAAATATAGCATTTCCCCTATTTTTCCCCTATCCCACCATATCTCTGAACACAGTTAATATATACAGGAGAGGACTGGGGAACAGCAGAACTCAATACCTCTAGAATAAATGAAGTGGGGGTTTAATTTTTTTTTTTTTACCTAATACTAAATCCCTCAGGAACATACATTTACAAGAAAAATTGAAAAGAACTGGCAATGATGCCTTTCCAGGAAGACTGATGAAAAAAACTTGGGTAAGGATCCAGTGGTGAGATACTTGGTGTTTATTTTTTATTTTTCTCCCCAAACTTTGAAGTTCTGCTCAGAATTGCCTATTTTTAGTTAATTTCTAAGCATTTTCAACTAAGAATTTTGAAATCCTGAAAGGCGGGGTTTCGACTTGAAACATTATTTAAAATCAAAGAAAACAAAATATAATGACACTGCCACTTGTGATTACCTGTTTGTTAACAGCTATAAAAGAACTTACTTCTCTCCTGCTGATGTCCTTTCAGACCCAGATCTTGTAAGATGTAAGGGATGACAGCAAATGCATGATCTTCAGTGCAGAGTATAACTGCCAGCTGAGAAACAAGCAAATGGCTATTCTCAGATCATGACAGACCTGGAAGTAAAAATGGTTGCTGTTACAAATTTTGTGGCGCATGCAGTGAGAAATTATAATGTGTAGGTGAAAGCAGGATCCTACTTACAGCACAACCAAAACAGAACCATCCCATTTCATAGCTACAACGTTGTCCTTATAAGTTCCACAGTAGTATTTTTGTCATCTAAATTTGGGACAGAAGGCTGGTTTGGGCTACAGTGTGATTAAGTGTGTACTTGCCAACAAGTTACTTTTGTTTGTATTGATCTTCACTTCATTTACTGCCAAAACCCCACTTAGAGTACCTTTTCTGCCCTCCTTTCCCCTTCACTGGTAGAAAACACTTCTCTCAAGGCTGAAAGAACCTTGCCCTGAACCAGAAAGGGCTAAAACCAGCCAGCTGGTGCCGGATGGCACAGTTCTGACCTGACTGGAGTCCAGGAAGTGCAACGCGTGTTTGGAAGGACCAAGAGCACCACCTGCCTCGCCTGTAAGGAGAAGCAAAACTCTGGCTGCAATAAATAGCAACCAAAGAAAAGAAAGATTTGGGGGCTTTTTGGGTTGTTGGTTTTTTTTGTTTGTTTGTTTGTTTGTTTTGGTTTTGGTTTTTTTTGTTTG